CTTGTTTCCAACGATCAAATCAAATGCATTAATTCATCACAGATAATTGTCCGAACAACATTTATTTAGTTACCATTTCATCATCCCATAACAATACTACAACCATTTAACCGATCACATAGAATTTCATTTTATTTCGAAGGAATCGAAACTACTTTTATCTCGAACACTGCATCTCTCTACGATCGATAACCGATGTCCTATAAATTTTATGAAAAGATACAAATATCTCTAAAGCAGCCACAAAATAAACCATCAACTGAACGAAAATGAAACGAAGAACAAAAGAACACTGACAAACGTCCAAAAAGAAGAAGAAAAGAAAAATCTACGCTTTAAATTTTCTATAAATGCATAAAAGTTAGCAATCTATATTAAATAAATATCGTAATATTTAATACACGAAACAAATCCCATTTTTTTCGATCCCATTTTTCAGTTATATTCATAAAAATATGAAACTGCATAAAAATCCACAATTTATTTATCGTTACCATTGTATAGGGTTCTATCAGCAATATCCAACTGCCATTTCACTACCTTGTCATATTTTCAACAGGTACCAAAGGAAAATCGAACTAAAAGAAAAAACAAAGACAGAAAGCATATATATCTCCCGCAGAGAGACACGAACGAGAAAACCACGGAGAAGAGTAGCATAGAGAGGGTGGAAAGTGGATGGGAGCCGCGTCTGTCCAGGGATGATCCCGGCTGTGTCTATTTATACGGGCCAGGGGACCAGCGCAGCTACCTGTTGGCTGGCTGTGCATAGTGGGTAGCAGGGCGCGTTTCACTTCTCTGTATTGTACGATGCTATACAGTATACTACGGACGATAGGCAGGCTAGCTGGGCGCAACAGGGAATGCCTGTATAGCTGCGCGCGTATACAGTATACACATATACAGTATACATACGCAGCAGGCGAAAGCGGATCGACGACGAGTAAAGCTAAAACTGGGTCAGCGGCTGGAGGAAAGTAGGTCGACTCAGAACGCCATGATAAAGCTTGGTCGCCGGTAGACGCGCGGTGTTCTCTTATGGGGGTGCGTCTTACTCACTGAAAATCCATTGCACTTGCGCACACGTCGATCTCGGTTGATCGACGGCTTATTTTATGTTGAAGAGAGTATTATGAGAAGCTTCAGTGAAATGATGGAATGAAATTTTGAATAAATTATCGGTTATTCGAAACACAGTGGAAAATGAATTAATGGAGTGCCTGAAATGACAAATTTGTAATTTTTTATAAAAAGACTTTATGCTAGGTATGAATTGCTATTAATTTAGATACTTATATACTACAGTCTGAATTATTATTTATTTCAAAAGGTTATATAGTTTAGTCATTTAACATGCTACAGCTTCACTTTTTTTTTCTTGACAAATTAAGTGTAACATATTAAATCAAACGGATACATCATTTTGCAGTTAGAATCTCTTCACGCAATTTTCCCGAAACTGCATTTTCAGGAACGACGGCAATTTTTTAAAATTATAGTTACTAATTAGTGAATAATGCGAAACAATCAAATGTAATCATTTACATTTACAGTTAATCCAAGTCAAAGTGAATTTTCCAGTTAATTAAGACTAAAAGCAATCAAGCTCCCAGTTGGTTAAAATTAGGAACAATTTAGATTTCAATTAATCGAAGTCCAGTTTACCAACTTGTACTCAACTTTCCTTAGTAAATCTTCGCGTAACTACCACAGTATTGTACAAAATAATATTCTCTAACTATCCTAACCACTAGTTATTGCTTTTCTAATGATCAAAATGTTCTAAAGCGACCGGAATCGTTTACTCAACGTTGATTTTCCCAGAGACAAATCTTCCACGGAACGCTATTCGCAGACTTTTTACCAACTGATTTCTGCCCTGGGGTGACATTTTCCCGTATGAGGTTCCATTCTCTGTTATTAAACAAGATTCTTTGGCATGGAACGTCACAGGAAACAGTTACAGTTTAATATGCTTCTCGTGATTTATTAGTCAAACGCTGATCATACGTTTAAAAGTTATACTAAGCTTTAACTGCGAGGGCTTTGATCGGTTAAAAAACGTTACAGCACAGTCTTTATGAAATATAAATTATATTTTTAAGTGTGTTTGAAGTACGCCTCGTATAAATCAGAAGTTCCATATATTGTAACCTAATTGTGCAATTCATGAATTTAACAATTCATTTCAATAATTTGCGGGTCAAAGATCCAATTCAAAGTAACCTATTAACCCATTTGCTTAAAATCTGGATAAAGGAATTAACTTAAATTGTGAAATCAATTTACAATATACCTAATTTACAACTACCTAATTTACTTGTTTCATTACAGAGCATAACACAGTTCCCTCGTTTCTTCCCCTACGTTCACCCCTGCTGTACCGATAATCGTTTAAAAATCACCCTATATAATCGTGCATATTTAATCAACCGACCAGAGGCTGGTCGATGTTGCAGCACGACGCCTATTTTAAGATTAATTCTCCGCCGATGAAAATACGCGTGAAGGACGCGTCACGGCCTTTCATCGTTCTAATAAAACGCGACCGGTTCGTTTTTGCCTCGAACGGCTTCTGCACGGATCACCGATGTTTTCTCAACTTCCAGCCGCTGTTACGTGAACAGCCGTGAATAATCATCGAAACAATGCACCCTCTCGAGCGAATGACATCCAGGAAAGAGAAAGAAAGAAAGGATGAAAGATGAGGAGAAAAGTTACGATTCTATGGTAGATAACGGGTGGAGAAATCGAATTATTAATTAATTATCGAATTACCGATTTCTATAAATTGAAATTCATTGTCCATGCAGAATTTATAAGATGATTAGTAGTTGGCGGATATTAATGAAATTTGTATTTTTATGAACAAACTTAAACGAATCGAATCTAACAAAGATTTGTTTCACCTTGTACGTGCTACGATTACTTTGCTTTAGATATCGTGTATATATATTTCTGCATATTATGCGCGATAATGATGACCATATTATCAAGTAATACGCTTCTTGATACGATCCAGATACAAAATTAAGCGAATATTTTACATGTTACAGTTTAATGCATTTAAAGTTAATATAATAATGCCGATACTAACTACGCAACTATATCGATATTAACCTGATGACGTTCGTGCGCTGTTAGGTTGGTGTCAACCTTAAAATTCATCGAGAACGGGCCGAGTAGCTTGGAAGGCGCGTTAGTTGCAAAATCGATACGCATTCACCGGCTGTGTTTCGTTGCGAGTGGGTTTTATGTCTACATACACCCTAACTTTGCGACATTGAATGTAAAAATAGATGTGGGGCGTATATGCAAAATTCTGGCGTGAATATCGTTAGGAGGGGAAAAATCTGAAGATGGATTATTTGGGGGCTGGGAGGTGGAAAAGTTGCGTTGCGGAATAAAGGTCGTAGAAATGAGAAAATACTAGGGTGTCCTTTTAATCTTCAGGGAATAAGTTTATATACAACATGTATAAAGTATCGGGTATTATTCGAATAAATCCTTTTTTGCATTAAAAATAACAAGTCAAAGTTTGTTCTGCTAATAGCAATAATAATCTTATAATATCAAGTAAAATGTTCATATTTGTAATTTTAATTCCCTATTCATTTATTCGTCGTCTGCTTTACAATTCTATTTATTCTTCTTTTCGAAGCTCGACCCGTTGGAAAAGACCAAATGGGTGTTAGAAATTAATCAAAATGTTTAACGCAGGATAATTTGGTAAGTGCACATCGAAATGCTCTTCATCGAACTTTCGAATCGCAAAATGAATAATTGAAACTGCTCCGTAAATACGCTTGCACAGAAGTGCAGAATCTTAAATAATTTGATAGGTAAAGTTTTCCGTTCAACGGCGAGGAATTTATTAAGACCGTAAAATGCTTGATGAAAGGGAAGTAAGGCGAACAACGAAGCATGGAACTTCAAATTGCGATTTATTATTTATCGTGAAAAGCTTTCGATTTACGATACGATTTCGTATCTTCAATTTATGTGCATCATGATTTCTGCATTTATGGTAAAATAATTCTCTAAGAAGTTGCTAAAGAAAAGGCTCTGATAGAATAAAGCACAGTGATGGACAAAACAAAGTTTCGAATAATACCAGCTTTGTATAGTATTGATATAATATCGGTATCATATATGAATATCAGTAATCTTTACATATTTTTGTATCATGTTAGTAATAGTCATCTATTTTATAATATATTATCAGTCATATTGCGATACATATATATTCGTTACCTTTATTGGAAAACTATATCAAATTTTATTTTACAAACAAAATAGTAAATTCAAAATAAAATAAATAGAAAATAAACACAATGGAAAACATTAAAATTTTTCTATCAGAAAATAACCCAATATAATAAGAAAAAGAAAATACATATATGTATATATGTCATATTTGCTGATAGAAAAATTATGTATATATATATGACTGGTAATGTATATTAGCTTGTTCAGAAAGTTTAGAGCATTTTTTATAATTGCTATGCCCTGTATTAGATCTTACTATATTTGAACCAATTTTATTATTATGTAAATGATAAAGACAACTAAAAAGAAGTATTTCAGAATTGGTTAGAAACTTATAATGGGGGCACCAATGGAAATTCTATTTTACTCACTGAATGTAGTATAATCGTATTTATATTTATTCTGATCTTCACAAATCTTATTCAATTGTAAAATATTGTATATTTTAGAGATTCATGAAAGCTACTCGAAGTATAATTCGTTACCAAAAAAGACGAAAACTTTTCAAAGGCGGTTATGTCATAGTCATTCAAAAATACATACGTATAAATTATTCATATACTGTGAATTCTATGAGAACACATTATTTTGAAATCTTTCACAGATATCGCTATGAACTTTCTGAACAGTGTAATATTACATCTAATTAATCTTGTCAAACAAATCTCTGGTTCGTGAAACCAGTGGTTTCCAGTGAAACCAGGGTGGTAATGTTATTTCGCATGACTTACTTTTAGAAGACGACATGGAACAGGAAAGAAATTTCACACAGACAGTTGCGGCACTATAATGTGTACTTCACTCATTATTTCCACTGCAAATATACTGAGAAGAAAAGAATATTGCACAAAAGCTTGCTTAGAACAAAGTTCGAATTCAGCCTCGGACGCGTTACTGCGCAGCGCAGTTTCTGGCGTCTCAGTGGTGCCAACCTAAAATCGATGGACGAACAACGCTAAGGGCGCGCGATTCAAACGTATTAATGTACAAGCTTACCGAAGTATTCAATTACCTGCAGACGCTTTTTGAGAACGTATTATTTGTATTATACAAAATGTTTTGAAATTTTATTAGCAGTCGGCTATTATGATTATATTGATAAAGTTTGAAACAATATATGTAGAAATTACAAAATATTTAGTACAATTATACAATAGTAATTGTACTTAATATATTAAAATATACATAGTAATGTCACAGGAGATTACAAAAGTATAAGAAAATATAAAAGTATAACAATTATATATCATTTTATCTATTATTTATCCATTATATCATCCACTGCATTTACAAAAAGTATCTTGTAACTTTTACATATATTTTAAGACTGGTTTCAAATTTTTTAAATTCGACAGGTTTGGTTCCAGCTGATTTCAAGTTCTAAGCTCATATTTCTCTAAATCTTTATGTTCCATATCCATATAGTAATCTTAGTAGCAATTTCATCCATTTTGATAGGTTTTCAACCAAAAAATTCTAAGCTAACATCTATATAAATTTTAACTCGCATAAATCTTTCTAGTAGTGCATATCCTTTATTCACATATATGTACAATTGTATAACAAAAGATCAACGTTACGAGACCTTCTATCCAACTGAAACAGGCGAAAATCTGTGGTTTAACGAACTTTCGACTCCATGCATCATATAGACATAGTACATTCACGATTCAGCGACTGTCGATTCGCTGAAGTCGTTCGATATTGTATTTAGCCGAGACAACGGACTAGTCTCCAAGTGTTCGAACACGGGGATGAGAGACCGGAAGTAGCGAAGGAGTGGAAGACTCGACAGGTTGGAGAGTTGGCAGAGCCTACACAATGCGACTATTGTACGCGCAACTCCATTACAGCAAATGTTCTCCTTCGTTGTTACATGGAAACAGAAAATGAAGGCAAGAAGGGAATGAAAAATTCAGGAAAGACCATAAGTGTTACTATCATGCAAAGAAATTCGCTATAACCCTTGGATGATGCTTAGATACGTGTCGATCTACGCGAACTGTAAGATTATACTATAAGTAAACATTGTATTTCCACACTAACTTTAATCATCGTTTAAAAGAATTAAAAAATAATTTCACCTGAAACGTATCCTTTTCCCTATCAAATATAACTTTCCCCATTTACTTGGCAACTTATCAATTCTTAATACGAAATAATTAGATATCTTATTTTGGTAAAAGTAAGTAAAAACTCTAAAATGGTAGCCAAAATCCGAATCTTTTGTACTCTAATGTTCGAAATAAAATTATAATGCTTGAACGTTTCGATAATTTCCTAATGATTTCTCAAGTTTGCATAAATTCTGAGATGCGTGTAGAAACGACAATTTTATAGAAATGAGGAACATGTTCCCCATAAGTAGAAATTATGAAATAGCAAGTGGATCAGGTTTCGATTTGTGCAAATCGAATCTATTCGACAACATTTTTCAACTAACGTATGACGCAAACGATGCCCTCGATACTAAAAGTCGTGCGACATACGCATTTCACGAAGCTTGCAATCCGATCGTATGGACATCGATGTGAAACGTTGCCGTGGCGTTTCGACGATTACATTTTACGTAGTGGTACTTGACCCTATCGAGAAAACTGAGAATTCGGCAATCCTCCCTCGAGATGACTGAAGAACTCCCAAATGAAACTTCTTTTCAATGGTAACGTAGAAATTGTACATTACAGTGTCCAATATTGTTAAAATAAACTTGAAGCTTTGAAATTAAAAGCTGTTAATAAATAATTCAAGTAATAATTTTTAAATATTTTTGAAGATAGTGTAGGGAGGGATAGACAGGAATAACAGAGATTATTTCATTTATTAATGATATAATATTAGCGAATTGACAAATAATAAATGCTAAATTATAAACTATTGTTGTACGAAAACGACTTCTCTATAATATCACAATTTTAAGTTAAACAGAACAACAAACTTGTAAATCCACTTGCAGAACTGCTCTTATTTTATTATCAAACTTGTTCCTGTTATACGCTTAGAACTTTGTTGATAGTATTAGTTCAATTGTCCGAAAGCCGAAAGTTGAGTTGGGAAATTAATCAAGAGTCAGGATTAAAACTGAGACTCAAAAATTAGGAATAACAGCATTGAATAGAAGTACAATAGTTGTATCGTTATTCTTCAATATAGTTTCATTATTTCATTTAACATTCCGTGAAACAAAACTCTTTGCAACCCAAGATTTACATATTGTACATTACCTCTGAATATTAAAAGCGACGTTCAGCATGAAATTTCATTTGAGTTTTCAAATCTAATACACGAAATATTCAACACGACTTTTCTGAAAATAACAAACGCACGTTCAAACAAAAAAGAAACCCTTTAAAGAAGCAAATAAGGGTACGAATGTAGGAGATTATTAATATAAACATTTTATATTTCGTAATACATCAGTCGTATCAAACTCCTTAAAGCCTCTGTTTTTGTGATGGCTGTTCAAGCAGTGACTTCCCTTTCTTCGAGTTCCTGTAATATACGTATGAAAAAGTCGACGAGTCATCCTCGCTTATGTTCGTTGGAGGATTTTGAAAAATAAATAGAAGGTATCGTAGCATCGTATGATCGATCGTCACCAAGATCTCACGGGGATAGTATTCCCGTAAGTAAGTTCAATTTTTCCAGGCTTATAATAGCCGGCATCGGTCATAATTTACAAGAATCCCATTGCGAAGGAAAAGACTCTCTCTATATGCGATCTACGCTGCGATCGAATTTAGAAACAGAAGAATTCTGTGAAATAGTTTGTGGAAATTTCGATAAAAGGCTTGTGGATGAAGAAAGAAGAAATTAATGTCTTACTTACGACGGAAATCTTATTCATTGTACCTTGTGTAAAATATACACGCTTATCGGAAAGAATTCGAAACAAGAACTCTTCAATTAAATTTGATAGAATGGAAACTGTACTAAATTTTTTAATTAATGTTTTAGATATAAACGAACAGTGGAACATTGCTAATGGCTTTCGATGTTGAAGCAACGTTGAAACGAACTTAGGATTGGATCCTAACCAATTGTTTTATTTTACATTTTACAAATCAAACTCTACCTGGCCCAAGCTATCTAAGTGATAACACATATATTCAAAAATGTAAAAACGCGTATATATAAAATGAGTTCTGTATTTCACGATCTGTGTCACAAAATTTCCAATTATAAATCATGTTCTATCAAGCAAATATAGAACGTAACAAATTTCCAAGTAAAGTCCAACCGGTTAATTAGCTCCCACGCGGCCACCATTCGCTCCGCTCTATAACAAACTCGATTGAATCGAATGTGGCTGGCCCCGTGACAAACTGTTTCGCGGCCAGCC